TATGTTACGAGACTCTGAATCTTATTTATGTTTTCTGCACTAGTTGGCTTTTACCGACTCTCCCCCAGCCAGGGAATGGAGGTACTGCCCAGTAATTGCCAGGTGGAGGTAGAAGGCCCCCTTCCCCTCTTGACCTCTGTTGAAACCTGAAGGGGGACATGCTTTACTATTGCTGGGCAGAGGTGGGAGTTCCGTGTCCCTAGGTGGTTTCCACTGGCACCCCGGTGGGAGTAGCCTCATCACCACTAAGCCTCCTCTGACACCAGCAGCTGGGGAAAGAGAGATGCTTCATAACTACTCGGTGGGGGTGAAGTGCAAGCTACATACATGATCGCCACTGACACCGTGGGGCGAGGGTAGGGAGGCTCTTATTAGCCAGTGGAGATGAAATTCCTGATTCCCTGCTTGTCTTCTTACACCTCCCTGGCCGGGTGTGGGGCCCTGTAGGATAGCCTCACGAAGGTGGAAATCTAGGCTTCCCACTTGGTCTTCTGACGTAGGTGGGGGTAAGGTCCCAGGTTTCTCTGTGGTGTTTAGCTGGAATACAGCAGTTATTGGCTAAACATTTGCTGTCTTGCTAGGGTTTTTTTGGTTGACAACATTGGCATTTCTAGATTGTTGGCTTCTTCATCTTATGTGTGTTTTATATGCAACATTCAGGGTTTTTAGTTCTACTTCATGGGAGCAATCTATTCCATCTTTCTGGAAGCAGAAGTTTCTGTATTTTCTTTCATGGCACGTCTGCTCAGGCCTTTTGTCCACTTATAATTGCCTGCTTGGTCTTTTTTATTATTAAATTATAGGAGCCATTCCTATATTCTTGATATGAATCCTTTGTTATGTACAGGTTTTGCAAACATACTCCCCCAGCCTGTGGTTTGCTTTTTCATTTATTAAACTGTGGGATTGATGAACAGATTTTAAATTTTGATGAAGTCCAATTGTAGGTATCATTTGAAATAAAGTTTTACTGCTGTGAGCCATCAGTTTCTGTTGCCTGCAGCTGAGAGTGCTGGCTAATACAAGCTCGCAGTGTCACCTCATGACTTAGATGTACCTTGATTTTTACTTACTTGATACTTACAAATGCAATGATTTTGATGCTCAAAACATTTTTGGAATCTGTTTTTGGAATTGTCCCCACAAAAAAAGTTTATAAGCCTCATCAGAAACAAGGGTCATTATTTTTGCCTAGTTTTCTACCTCAAACACCATCTTAGAACTTAATCATCTGTCAGACTTGGATCTATAAACTTTGGGCTATTGCACAAGTAAAATTCACTCTCAAGATAGAGTGAATTGTCACAACAAATAATTGTTTAAATGGATGTGCTACAAGCTCTGATGTTTCTCAATGTCTAACTTACCTACATATCCACCAGTAAGTTTTGATATCATGGGCTTGGTTATAGACTCTCCCATTGTCAGCGCTTAGTCCATTTGAGTTCTCACTTGAATACTAGTCTTTGTAGACAGAGATATCCTGGAACCCTGAGGAGCTGAGAGAAGGAAGTCTTTTTTTTAGTCTTATACCAAAAAATCCACAGTCCTGCCAACCCAGAGGGAATAATAGTGAGGAATTAGAGAGTGAGGAAAGGCTGGGAAAAACAAGAAGGCCCCTTAGCTCTTCCCGAATGAAAGAAATGAAGAATGCATCTGGTACAGTTATATTCATATATTTAGACACCTGCTCCTGACAAAACAAATCATTTGGAGGTATTTGTGACTTAGATTGACAGTAGCTCTGCCTCCTGCTTACGTGGGTGTCTGGAGACTCCTGAAAACCCTAGAGTCTCTTAAAGAGGGTGTTTGTTTATCTCTCCTGAAGAGAACTGTAGTGACGTTGAAAGAGCTGGTCCTTAGCTCAATGGATTTCTCTGGCAATTAGGTGCTAATGTTGTCCATGAAAGATAGCAGGGTGGCATTCAATCCAAGTGGGATGGAACTAGCAAGGAGTTAGTGAAACCTAAGACAGAAGTGCCATAGGTACTGTGCCAAGGGGAATGACAGAACTTCACATCCACATCTATGACCTTGGACCTTTTTCATTCTAACTTATAGGTGTTCACATGCCAGAGTCCCTAAGGAATTACATAGTGTTACAAAGAGTACAGACTATACAACTGGCACATAATGATGATGTTAGTCACATTTAACTCCTTAGGCACATAGGGTCCAAGTTTTGTTACTTTTTTGTTTTTAGAATACATATTTATACACACACATAATGCTCTGGAACCACATGGTCATTATTTATTCACTGTAATACAAATTTGCCACGTAAATTAAGGATAATTGTTGGAATAATGCTTATGAAATAGGTTTTGAGGATATAACTGCTGTTTATTCTAATAAAAAGATTTTTTAAATTAGAATAACAGATTAAAAGCAAACTAAAAAGAAAGTAATCTTTACATAAATTTGAAAAAATTAAGTGATTAATATATTCCTCAGGTTTCCTTTAGTCAAATATAAATTTTTTTAATATTTTATTTATTTTTATTTTGTATTTTAAGTATATTTCATTGATTATGACATTACAGTTGTCCCACTTTTTTCCTCCCTTTTGTCCCCCTCTGCCCAGCACCCCCATTCCCTCCAGCCACTCCCCCCTTAGTTCATGTTGATGGGTCATACATATAAGTTCTTTGGCTTCTCCATTTCCTATACTGTTCTTAACTTCCCTCTGTCTATTTTGTTCCTACCAGTTATGTTTCTCATTCCCTGTACCTTTCCTCCCATTCTCCCCCCAACACAGATAACCCTCCATGTGATCTCCATTTCTGTGATTCTGTTCCTGTTCTAGTTGTTTGCTTGGTTTTTTTTTGTTTTTGTTTTTTAGGTTCAATTGTTGACAGTTGTGAGTTTGTTGTGATTTTACTGTTCATAGTTTTCATCTTCTTTTTCTTAGATAAATCCCTTTCACATTTCATATAATAACAGCTCGGTGATGGTGAACTCCTTTAACTTTACCTTGTTTGAGAAGCACTTTGTCTGCACTTTCATTCTAAATGATAGTTTTACTAGATAAAGTAATCTTGGATGAAGGTCCTTGCTTTTCATGACTTTGGATACTTCTTTCCAGGCCCTTCTTGCCTGCAAGGTTTCTTTTGAGAAATTAGCTGATAGTCTATGGGAACTCCTTTGTAGGTAACTCTTTTCTCTTGCTGCTTTTAAGATTCTCTCCTTATCTTTAATCTTGGTTATTTAATTATGATGTGTCTTGGTGTGCTCCTCTTTGGATCCAACTTCTTTGGGACTCTCTGAGCTTCTGGACTTGTATTTCTATTCCCGTCACCATTTTTGGGAAGTTTTCCTTCATTATTTTTTCAGATAAGTTTTCAATTTCTTGCTCTTCCTCTTCTCCTTCTGGCACCCCTATGATTTGGATGTTGGAACATTTAAAGTTGTTCCAGAGGTTCCTCAGCCATCTATCATTTTTTTTGACTCTCGTTTCTTCATTATGTTCTGGTTGAATGTTTATTTCTTCCTTCTGTTTCAAATAATTGATTTGAGTCCTGGTTTCCTTCCCTTCACTGTTGGTTCCCTGTATATTTTGCTTTATTTCACTTTGTAAAGCCTTCACTTCTTCCTTTATTTTGAGTCTATACTCAATCGTTTCTGTGAGCATCCCAACTACCAGTGTTTTGAACTCTGCATCTGATAGGTTGGCTATCTCATTGTGTTTAGTTCTTTTTCTGGAGTTTTGATTTGTTCTTTCATTTGGGCCACATTTTTTTTGTCTCGGCACACCTGTTACATTGTAAGGGGTGGAGCCTTAGGTATTGGACAGGACGGGACAACCCACCTCTCTGCATTGTGGTGCTGTATGTAGGGGAGGGGTCAAAGAGACCGAACAATGCTGCTTGCTGGGCTTTTGCCCTGCCTTCAGTCACTTCCCCCACTTCCCACTAGTGGATGTGCCCTTTCAGGTGCTGATTCCTGGGTAGGCGGGCTTGTGTACATTCTAGGATCCTGTGGACCCCTCCAATGGACTCTTCCATGAGACTGGCAGTTTCTCCTGCTGCCACAACTCCTACAGGTTTTTGCAACTAGAGGTTGTGAGGATTTATTTTTCTGTGCTGAGTTGCACAGCCTCTCTTGCTCCCCTGTTGTTCTTCCCGGTTTGTCCACGCTTGAGTGTGGGACTGTCCAATCTGCCAGCCACTACAGCTGCACATCCTCTCCACCCCCGCTGCCCATCTCTGCCCTTCCTATCAGCCTGGATGAATGTTTCTTCTTTAACTGCTTGGTTGTCAGATTTCCATACAGTTTGACTTTCTGGCAATTCTGGTCGTTTTTTGTTTTTAAATTGGTCGTTATCCTTCTTTTGGTTGTGCAAGGAAGTGAAGCCATCTACCTACCCCTCCACCTTGGCCAGAACTCTATTCATTTATTTTTAGAGAGAGGGGAAAGGAGAGAGAAAGAAAGAGAATCAGCGATAAGTTGCCTCTCGAACCTGCAACCTTTTTGTCTGCAGGCTTGCATTCAATCCACTGAGCCACTCAGGCCAGGACAAACATAACTTTCTGTCTCTGCTTTTAATACTTCAGATCCCCTCTGTGTACTGACAGAACGATACAGGAGTCTCTGCCTTTTGTGGGCCCTGGCATTGGGAAAAACTGTCTGCTTTTCCTGAGTATTTTTTCTGTGTTTCATAATTCATGACATTTTGTGGGCTGCAGAAGTCATGCTTGTTTCTACCAAAAATTCACCAACTCTTGAATATGGAATTTAGGTTCATCTAAAAATCAAAAACCCTTTCTGTAAATACTGTTGATATCTATTTCCATAGAATAATTCTGAGAAAAATATTCTTAAAATTTTTTATACCTATAAAGGTAATGCTTCAGCATGGTACAAGTAGAATAATACCATGTTAACCTTATCTTTAATTCATGGAGATTGGCCTAGTTAGTTACACTAAAATTTGATAACATGTAACACTAAATGTATAAAATATATTATGAACATTTGTGTTCAATAAAACAATAGCCCAATGACAAATGACATTTTATTATTTAAATGATCTTATAATGTTAACATCAATGCTAATAAAATTATATAACATGTTGAATTTATAAATGGCAAAGTCAGTTGTAATTCACTTGAAGGTTCCCACATTTCAAAGTAAGACTTTCATAGAGCAATGAAAATCCTCTGTTTTGTAGAATTTTAATGTTCGCCTGTTAAAGACTGGGCAGGGCAAAGGCACCCTTACAGCAGAGCATGAGAAGCAGAGGTGAAACAGCGAGTTCGCCAGACCCATCGCCTGTGCTGTGAGCACCTGTCAACGCCTGCAGGACGGAAAATTCTGGGTCTCCAGCTTCTTCATGATTTAGCCATCAAAATAGAAGCATAATTCAAATCCAGACAGATGTAAAAGTCTTCAGTTTCCATTCAAAGTTGATGTTTTCCCTTTTCATACTACTTGAAATATAAAAAATATAAAATTAACCCTTTCGGTCTACTAAGATTTTTAAATGTTGAGACTGGGTTCTTCCCGTATTGGATGGTAAGGGATGCTGCTTTGCTCTCTCTATTTCTAGGTTATTAGAAACAACAGAGTTTAAAGTTCAATGAATCAGTACAGGCTTGGTAACATGGTGACCTTTTAAAAGCAAAGACATACAAAAAAGATTTTTTCCAAAGAATATTTTAACAAATAGGGGTTTGTTTTGTACATACATGACATGGTTAAAGACAAAATTTGGATTTATTGTTATATTCAGGAAATAGGTTTTCATTAATAGCCCTGTGTGTGTGTGCAAGAGGGAGAGAGAGACATACACATTATTTTTTCAGTTTAAGTAAGACTCTAACGTCCTGAGAACTTTCTAATTAGGTAAAATACTGGTTGAGATATTTAGTCTTCTTACCAGGAATTGTAAGAAATTATAACATGTACATTCATGAGAAAATGAAGTAGATTATCAGTTAATAACCTAATGAGACATCTGATTAAACAGATGTTTTTATTTGAGAGTAGTGTAAACATGATTCTAAATGTACAAATATGTTGGTTATTCTTCCTTGTCTGGGAGGTTGAGTCAAAGTTTTCTGTGATTAGAAGGAAGCCTGAGCCTGGGAAAATTCAAACTACCCCCTAAATGCAGATAAAGTAATACAATCAAGTCAATTGGCAGTTATTTTAATAATTACGTACAGGGGCTTCTGTTACTTTACTGCATTGCTCACATACAGGTGACCTGAGTTACTCCATCTTCCTGGTCAAACTGTCCATCGTCAAATTCCCGCAGGACGCTGTCGCTGCTGCTGAACCCCGAGAGGCTGCTACAGTGTGCCGGTCTCTTCTCCTTCAGCCAACACTCTCTGGAGGGAGAGAGTGGGCCCTCCGCAGGTGGGCTTCTGGTCTCCGCAGGTTGGGACGTGGTCGTATCTAGTCCGATGCTCCTACTGGTGACTTTGTTCCTGTCTTCACCTTTTATATGCCGGCTGGCTTTCCTCTGAAACAGAGATCGGTACCAGGAGTTGAAAACATGGGTGCTTTCCCGTCCCCGCGGCCTAGCACCCGCTGTTCTCTGCCTGAAATGTCCTTTTCCGGTTTCTCTTCAAAGTCCCGTCCATCTCAAGGCCTGGCTTGGAGCCCTTCATATTCCCTCCTCCCCCAGGTGGAAAAGCACCCCCGCCCCCGCCCCGTTTCACAGCCCTTCGTAGCTTCCCGGCACAGTATTCTCAGCAGTGGCAGGTTGATGGTGTGCATGTCTGGGCCCGCAGCAACATCTCTGAGGAGAGAAACCTGTTGAGACCACAGTTTGGGGAACAAGGCAGGGTAGAATACATTCAATGTCCCGTTTTTCTTCTTTGTGTGAATTGGGATCTAACAACAGAAAAAGGTCTCTAGTGGCCACTTCATACTCATTTCACTGAAGAATGGGCTGCACAGAAGAGTCACAGGTAATTCAGGCCAAGTTTATGCCTGGAGTTTCTGCAGGGGTCCAGCAGACCCCTTGCCTTGTGCTGCTACAAACTGCTCCTGCCGGATAGGGTTGGGGGGTGGAGCTTGGGGTTGGCGGGGGATGCTCAGCTACTGGACCAGCTCATTCTGCACACTGTCTGATAAGCAGCGGATGTTTTTGCTATGAAATACTTACTGAAGGCTGACAATGTACTTGGTGCAGTTCTGAATAAAGAGGAGGACATGGTCTCTGCCAAAGATGTAAGAATAAGATGTTTAAGTCAATTAAAGGAAAGGTCAGAGAGAGAACTGTAGCAGCTCAACATGTGGATGTTCAGACTCATGAGATTTCTTGACAAGATATTCTTTAGTACTGAAATGACATTAGGCATGCACACACACAAAAAGGAACGAGAGTAAATAAAAAAGGACAAAGATAAAATTTAAAAACATAAATAAAAGTGATTAATTTAAAAAGCACAGTAATTTTCCAGTTTACAAAGAGTTCATGTGCAAGCTAAACAGGGACTTCTGTTCAGGATGGCAGCAAAGACAAACATGGCTTGGTTCATCTCCTCTCACAAGCACATCAAAATTACAACTAAACTACAGAACAACCGTTATTCAGAACCACCTGAAATAGAGCTGAATAGGAGTTCTACAACTATGGAATTAAAGAAGAAACCACATGTGACTGGTAGGAAGGGTAGAGATGTGTGATGGGTTGGTCCCACATAACACGTGGTGAATAAAAATGGGAGGATATCTCAGGAATAAGGGGTCCCAGCCCCATACCAGAATCCCCCAGCTCAGGGTTCCAGTGCCAGGAAGATAAGTCCACCCAACTTCTCTGGCTGTAAAAACCAGTGGGGATGGAGGCTATGGAAGACAAACTACTAGAATCCCAAGCAGTTCCTCTTAAAGGGCCCATGCACAGACTTGCTCGGACTTACTCCCTTTGAGCTCCAGCATGGAAGCAGCAGATTGAAAGGCACCAGAAACATATGTGGGGGAACTGAAGTGTCTGGTTTCAGGCCAAGAGCTGGGGGGCAGCTTTCTCCCAGACAGAAGTGCTGGCAGAGGCCATTGTTCCTTTTCTGAGCCTTCCTCCAACAGAGTGGGCAGGGGGGCACCATATCTGAGATTCCATCAACCTGGTTCACACTGTCTTCCCCATCCTGATTATTCCCTGAGGCTCTACTGCAGCCAACTTTTGGGTCTACCCAAGCTGTTTTCAGTGGCTTTTCCATATAAATGGCTTGTCCTGGCTCATGCTTCAGCTTCTAAATTCTCTCAGGCAAGCAGCATCTTGCCTCATCATGCCCTGTACCTATTGCTAAATGGCCGCAGGCTTGGCATTAGCAGCAGCTGGCCTTCATTCATAGCTTGAACTTACTTGGGCACCTCCAAGCCCTAAAAGTAGCAACCAACTACAGATCACTTTGCAGCTTATGCCAGGTGGCCCTGAACAGAACATAGGTGGTGGCTGACATTGGCCTGTTCTTCTTGGGAGGCTACAGAGCCTGCACACTTAGGGGGCAGGTACGGAGCCATGTTGGAGCACCACCATCCAACCACCTCCACAAGCAACACACCCAAGGGGCAGACTCAGTGGGCACCAGAGCCCCACTGAAGTAAGTTCTGCTCTGTGGAGTGGGCTCTGGCACAGTTGATCCTCCATGGTAGTCGGAGGTTGGTGGTCAGGGGTCACAGCCAGTCCTTGCAACTGATTGGCCTATGTAAATCCCTCCTATTGACCTGCCAACAGCAATCAAAACTCAACTACAAGAAGAGGGTGTACACATCCCATGTGGTGGATGCACCCTGAGTACCCAGCCTGAGGGAGCTGTGCCACTGGACCCTACAGGATTTACCTCATTTGGCCACTCCTTCAAGCCAGGGATTGTAGCAGCTCTACTTAATATATAGAAACAAACACAGGGAGGCAGCAAAATGAGGAGACAAAGAAACATGGCCCAAGTGAAAGAACATAACAAAACTCCAGTAAAAGAACTAAACTAAATGGAGACAAGCAATTTACTAGATACAGAGTTCAAAACACTGGTTATAAGGATGCTCAGTGAACTTAGTGAGAACATTGACAGTATAAAAAAATGGCATGGAAACCATTAAAAAGAACTAATCAGAAATGAAGAATACACTACCTGAAATGAGAACAATTTACGGGGAATCAATAGTAGAGTGAATGAAGCCAAGAACCAAATCAGCAATTTAGAATATAAGGAAGCAAAAAACCACCAAATCAAAACAAGAAGAAGAAAAAAGAATCCCCCCCGCCCCCTGCCAAAATGTGGATAATGTAAGAAACCTCTAGGACAAATACAAGCATTCCAACATTCACATTGTGGCAATGCCAGAAGGAGAAGAGAAAGAGCAATAAATTAGAAATCTATTTGAAAAAATAATGAAAGAAAACTTCCATAACTTGGTGAAGTAAGTAGACATACAAGTCCAGGAAACACAGAGAGTCCCAAATAATATGAACCCAAAGAGGTCCACAACAAGACACATCATAATTAAAATGCCAAAGATTAACAAAGAGAGAATCTTAAAAGCAGCAAGAGAAAAGCAGTTAGTTATCTACAAGACTGTCAGCTGATTTCTCAAAAGGAACTTTTCAGGCTAGAAGGGATTGGCAAGAAATTTTCAAAGTGATAAAAAGCAAGGACCTACAATCAAGATTATTCTACCCAGCAAAGCTATCATTTAGAATGGAAGGACAGTTAAAGAGATTCCCAAAGAAAAAGCTAAAGCAGTTCATTACCACCAAACTAGTATTATATGAAATGTGAAAGGGTCTTCTTTAAGAAGAGGAAGAAGATAAAAAATGGACAATAAGTAACAATAAATACGTAACTATCAATATTTAAATCTAAAAAAACAAAATAAATGAACAAAGAGAACAGAAGCAGAATCATAGATACAGTGAAGATTTTGATAGTTGCCAGATGGGAGGGGGATAGGAGGATGGTCAAAGAAAGGTGAGGGGATTAAGAAGTACAAATTGGAAGTTACAGAATAGCCACGGGGATGTAAAGTACAGCATAGGGAGTACAGTAGCCAAAGAACATACATGCAGGACCCATGGACATGGACAAAGGTGTGGCGATGGCCTGAGGGAGTGGGGGTGACAGGGTGGAGGGGGGCAAAAGGGGAAATATTGGGACAACTGTAATAGCATAAACTAAAATAGAATTTGAATTAAAAAAAAAAAAAACAGAGTTTGTTTGCTGAAAGTTCATTTATATGTTATTTGGGAACTGGGATTACACTTTCCTAAATGGAAGAACTAAAATTATAAAATTCTTAGGGGCAAAAAAGAGTCCAATGCCCAGGCTAGTCTTACAAAAGTTTGGTAACCTATAGGTCTGTTGAACTGTAGTATATAAAATACAAAAGTATTTCCTACTGGTTTTCAAGACAAATATATAAAGCAAACAGCTTATTTAACTGGCTTTTGTGGGCTCCTGTGGAATGTAACCCGTTTATGATGCGGTTTATACAGGAAGACGCAGCCCTGAGCATGCTGCCTGCACAGGGGCGTTACCCGGGTCCCTGGGCAGGTTTGAGGGAACAAATCGAAATGGGTCCTCCTTTAATTTAACAAAGGCTCGGCCTCATGGCACGTTCCCGCGCTATTGGGACTCTGACCAGGGAGGGGCCGGCCATTGTGCGGCAGCCTGCGCTCATGGGTACTGCCAGACTGGGCTCCTTTCTCAAGCCTGGCTACGGGCTCTCTTTCCCACGTGCATAAAGAATGCATTCACTCTTGAATGACCTCTCAACGCTAACTGAATGAAGGTGGGAGGACAGAATGCCTGGGAGCCCTTGGCTGCCTGGGTCTTTCCTCCCTCGCCCTCACCAGGGCCAAAGCTAAATTTTGCAGTGTATTTGTATTGTGTATCAGCCAACACGGGCCAAGTAGCACATACTGCATGAAAATGTTATTAGCAAAAATTGGGCATTTGCCAAAATAATAAGATATTCATGGTAATTTGCGTTTAGATATGTATTTATCTTAAAATTTTATTTATTGAATTTATTGGGGTGATATTTGTTAATAAAATTATATAGATTTCAGTTATACAATTCTATAATACATCATCTGTATATTGTGTGGTGCCAGGCCAAGTCAGATTTCCTTCTATCACCGTTTATCCCCCTTTACCCTCTTCTACTTCCCCCCACACTCCCTTTCCCTATGGCCATCACCACGCTAATGTCTGTGCCTATGTGTTTTTATATATATTATATATATGTTATATATATACTTATATGAATTTTTTTACTTAATCCCATCACCTTTTTCATGCAGCCCCCAACTTCCCTCCCCTCTGACAGTTGTCAGTCTGCCTTCTGTGTCTGAGTCTGTTTTTATTTTGTTTGTTTATTTTGTTCATAGGAATGAAGTAAACAGCCACCAAATGTAAGTGTCAAATATCAAAAGATGATAAATACCTAACATGGTCACTCTAAAGAAGATTTCAGAACACTTTTCTTTCTTACCATATGACTCTTCATAAATACATCTTCAGCAGTGGCAATGCCTTCCCTACTCTGTCCTCACTTCACATGAAATAATAGCTTTTCCAATAAATCAAACTGCAGTGTTCTTATAACTTAGAGTGTAGGAGTCTGAAGCCCAACTAGTCCTTGGAGATCATCTATGTTAATTGTTCATTCTACAGAGGTAGGACCCTGGCCCAGAAAGAAAATGGGATCTGTCCAAGGTCAGAGAAAGGCTGGACTTGAGCTGGACTATGAGTGTCTTACTTTAGTCTTTTCACACTTAATATTACCAATATGTGCAAAACATATGGGTAGATTTGTGGTCAAGGATTTGTGTGTTCCCAAATAAAAATTTCCTTCAATTATAAAATACACATTCAGTGTGGAAAATCTGGCAAAAACAAAGAAAAAAGCAAGACCCACCCACAATATCATCTTGCAGAGATACCACTGTTAAAATTTGGTGCATTTTACTATGTATTTGCATACACACAAATAGATGTGTACAGCTCACTTTCTCACTTAGCACTATATTTTAAATATTTTATGTTGATAGAGATTTTCCATGCTACGTTGCTAGGCTTATTCATATATCTTCTTACTTTCTGATATTTTCACTATAAAATTGGGAGAATTAGAATTTGGATACATATCTAATACAGCCTTGATAAAATATGTTAACTTTTGAGAATCATTCCCATTTACTAAAAATGGGTGGTC